TTACATCAATAATTATCTGTACTTTCGCCATGACATAGATAAAGTGCGGATAATTTTTGACTTACCATTGTATATAGTAGGTTGAGTGATAAGCAATGTTCACTTTGGAGAACCAGTTGTAAGAAACAATGTATCATCAAATCTAACCGTTCCTTAAATATGTCATAACAGGTTATGAAAAATACTACAAAAGGCAGCGGATTGACAAAGATAAATCTCCACAACCGTACCTAAACGCTGTGTTCAATGGAGAAATGTACCGCTGTGCGTTTGATGTGACCACCGGAGAATTACACATTTAGATTTATTAAAATGCAACCAAACAGTAAATACGAATTTATAACGTCCAGTAGCTAAAACATGTCCATAAATGTTTGGTCGGAAAGCGTCCTGGGCTTGTCAATAGGAAAAAAGTCGTTCTTCCCATGACAATGCAAGGCTGTGTACAAGAAAACAAGAAAAATTGGGAACTCATTTTTTCTACTTCACCTGCAATATTCACTTGACCTTGTTCCAGCTGATTATTACCTTTTACGATCGTTACGCTTTGTTTGTAGAAACTTACTCTAATGAAAACCAGATCCAAAAGTTCGTCGAAAACATCAACATCACATCACCTTTTTACTCAAAGTCTTGATAAGTGATCACAACTTATTGTAAATAATGGTAAAGACAATTGAATGAAATATAATATTACTTTTTTTAAGAATAAAGTTGAAAACTGAAATTATTTATATGACACAACCTAATATATATATATATATAGAAACAAATAACACACACACAAACACTAAACAGAGACACATCCCCTCACCAGGTTTAATAAAACTGTCAAACTGACCAGAGAATTCAGAGCAACATGTATCTGTCCAGCTCTTATCTCAAATAACAACTTAAAAGAGACTGTTTGACCAACACAAGGATTGTTAAAAGATTCATGTTAAAAAGATAAAAAAAATAAAAAAACAAATGAAAACTACAGACAAAAGTTCATTTTCTCCAGCAAGATATTCATTTCTGTAGTTCACTGCTAACAGCAAGCAGAAATATTTCTCCTCCCGATGATGGCCATTTTGGTCGAAACTAGTCGAGGAATCTAAATGGAATAATAATAAAAAAAAACGAAAGAATATTAATCTACAACCCAGTGTGTCTAAAGATTTTAATTTTTTAATTTTTTTTATTGTTCAATATATATATATATATATATATATATATATATATATATATATATATATATTTTATTTTGTAAGTATAGCCGTCAAGAAGAAGGGTATGCTGAGAAAACAATTATATATTTTTGAAAAGAAAACAATGGACAATTTCTTTTTGTTAGACTCGATGTTTGACTCGAAGTTCAGTGAATGAAATCCTCTGAATCCTTTCAGTTCTAACAAACACAATGTCACCATGTCACCTATTTCCGAAATAAGAAGATTTTCACGGAACACAGTAAACAGTAAATTGAGTCATGAATATTTACATGTACATGATTGCAAATAAGTACCACCACAAAGTTTTAGATGGGTACACTTGTTAAAGCAGACACCCAAAAAGAAACACGCCAGTTCACAACCCACGCATGCACAGAAACTTTTGACGAACGCTAATTTCCTTCATTCTACGTTTACAAACGTATATTCATTAACATGCAAGCTGGTAAAAATGCTGCTTTTACTGGTGAATACATATATGGTGTTTGTGTGTGTGTTTGTGTCCTACATTATATAAGAATGCTTGTCAACGGTAATGTTTGTACTCGTGAGATTTTTTTTAATCGATTAACCCCAAGCAAGGCGGGAAGCCACTAGTACGCAAGGGGTTACAGAAGATTTGGAGCGAGAGCAGATAGGAGTGATAGAGGAAAGGATGAGGAGAAGGATAGTGGGTAGATCAAGGTAACTGGAGATGTCGATTGACATTACATTTGAATAGTTGGAGATTATAGCTCTCAGGGAAACAGGGAATAGGGAATTGGAGTAGAAGAGACAGCTACATTTAACAGTTTCAACAGTGAGAGCGGGATGCCAGCCTCGCAGGGCGCTTAAATTCATGAAGTCTGGGAGCCAGCGCAAGCATCTCATCGGAGCAATTTCCATGAAAGTATTTGTAAAAAGACAGAGAGAGGCGACGGCGCGTCTGTGAGAGAGCGACTGTAGACGAGATGCCAGATCAGGGCCAATTTCATTGCATATCCGTCTCCGGATCTTATCAAGAACCCAGAGGCAAACAGAAGGCGCTCCAGACCATATATGGCAGCAATACTCCATGCAAGGGCGAATGGTTGATTTGTAGATTTAAAGGATCGATTCCGGGGAGAAAAATTTCCTAGCACGGCACAGGGAGCCAACTTTCCTTGCAGTGGACGAAGCAATTGACACAATGTATTTATTCCATCTCAGGTCAGTAGTCAACGTGAGACCAAGAAGCCGTAGAGAGGTGCTCTCGAGAAGTTGAGAGTCATACATTCTAATGGGGGACAAGGAAGGATCTCTGTGGTGTAATGTTTTTATTTGTAGGAAATATCATTTCACTGTTCTCAGATAGTAAATGTTTTTTCTTTGATTCTTTGATTTGAAGTATCAATCAATAATTCTTTCCAAAAGTTATTTAATTAACAGTTAACATTTTGACCCTCATTTTGGTTTCCTTACTACTAAGCCACTAATTGTGATCCATTGAGCTACGTTTATTTTATTAAATTGGCTTGTTTGTTTGCACGCATGTTTTCTTGCTATGTAACACCATTATTTGATTTTTTTTCATTACTTTCTTTCTTTATTTCATCCTTTCTTTATTTTCCTTTTAATTTTCACTTGTTTTTCTTCCATTCTTACGTATTTGTTTCTTTCTTCGTCCTGCCCTTATATATCTACATAATCAGAAAAAAAATTGCACATGCAAATATAAACACTCGCATACAGATATACATAAACACTCGCATACAGATATACATCCATCCAAGAAAAATGCAAAAATATGATTTCAAAACTCGGCTAAATAATATACTCCACGTAAGACTTCCAATGTTTTTGCAAAGTGTTTCGACACATACCTTCACAGGTATACGCGCGCACACATAATCACACTCATATACACGAATCATGTGTTATAGTGTTATCACATAAAAGTCGAACATATATGCCTATACTATGTATAGTATACTATGTGACATTTAATGATACTTTTTCTTCCTTTTCGTTATTCTATCGTTCATATTGTTAATCACCGTGAAAATAATCAATAAATTAAGAAAAGTCAAAATGACTTATCTTAAATCGGGCGAAAGATAAGTCATTTGAACATTTATTAATTAACAAGTGTGGTTGGTTCTGCACAAATCCTTCACCACTATTATCAAATCCCATGTGCTGGTGTCTGGCTGTCGGTTCCTAGGAACTGAGTTACTTGACCCTTATACGTCGAATACGACGGGAGAGTCCACCATATATATGCGTACGAACGCACGAACGAGGGATGCTATGAATTTTTATATATATATATATATATATATATATATATATATATATATATATATATATATATATATATATTGCATCAAATATTTTTATTCATAATTTTTAATGTAAAACTATAATAGGAGTTTTACGTACAATCTTTACTTGTTGATGTGAAGATAAAAAATACCAAAATTTCCCAGTTCATTTTCATATTGTGCGTACAATATATTTGTAACTTCATTTAGAGCATAAGAAGCGATGAAGAATTTAATTTTTTACTCGTGTTACTGGTCGAACAAGTTCTAAAATGTTAAATTATTTCTTTGATTTGAACTCACTTCCTCAAGACATGCTCGTTCCAGAAACTTTAGAAAATATGTCGAATTTCAAGCAACATGAAAGAAATACTCATACCACTTCAGAGACTGAACAAAAACGGTTATTATGGATATTTTCACTTATTACGGTTGTTTAGAAGAAAAGTAACTAATGCTATTTTTGGTGAGTTGAAGCAATTATGTTGGATCTCACACCATGATGCAAATAATGTTTGACCGCTATAGGTGGCACTGTAATCCAATCGACCAGAAAGAGAGACAGTCTCTAATTTACTACCATCCAGTATTTACTAATGAGTCTTCCTCGATATAAAATATGAGAAAACATCCTTTACAAAACACTAGACATAAAGGATTTTCGGTTTTATGCTTAGTGGCACAGCGAGCAGATTTCAAAGGTCGTTTCATTTTAGATTTTGTAAACATTGCATTATCTCATCAATTATCTTTCTATCTTAATGGGCATTGACAATCGTGCTTATTCAGTGTTGAGTACAATACAACTGGTAAAGATTTGATTCCGTAAAGCACTCATTGATCTACCCTACAGGCGACTATAGACGAAGCGGGCACAGTTGAAATTGATAGACAAGCACAATAGTTTTTGCTTTCATCCATTCAGATCTAATTCAGTTTGTTCGTATGTTTATCACAGCGGAAACACATACACACGCGTGTATGCACACATGTTTCATTATCTATCTGTTTATACACCCACTCACACACACACACAATATATATATATATATATATATATATATATATATATATAAATATATATATATATATATATATATATATATATATATATATATATACTACTTGAAACTATACATGTTAAACGATACTAGTCGCTATAAAAAATTGAAATAGGCAAAATCAATAAAGAGACAGAAATTCATGAAAAAAATTATAAAAAGTGAATGGTTAGTTGCTTGATTGATGGATTCGCTTTCTACGGCTTATCAACCCTTTGAAGTTTATTTAAAGCCGAAAAATATGTTTAGATTCTGCGAATTTGTGTGTGGGGAGATATATTAATGGTACACATATTACTAATTAACCTATAGCTGGAGGAGAAGAGGTGGTTTCATACCTTTCGCACAGGTATCTGCGCGTAATTGAATACAAAGAACCCAACAGAATTTGGCTCTCTTAACAATTTCGAGACACTATCCATTACACACCAGCACATCAAAATTTACAGCACCTGGTATTCTCAAGCGGTCACCCAACTAGGTACTGAGCAGGATTGACATTCCTTAACTACGGTGATCGTACGGGAATCGGCGGCGTTTCAACGGGAATGTGGCCGTAAGCCTCAAGACATGGTTATGATTAATAGAATATCATCCAAAGATCCCTAGATGGTTTGCCAAAACACACAAAACCAACATTCCATGCGACATGTTATTGCTTGCATGGGCAGCGCCCACCACAAATTAGCAAAGGCCATGCGAAAATCTTAACGCCTCTTTTAAGATCAAACAGCCCTTCACACCTTATAAAGACAGGCGATCACATCAACTAATTGAAAACCATTTCATACATAATCAACACCCCCAAAGATGCAAAATGTATAAACACAAAAACTAAACACCTTATATGACCTTTTAACTCCATAACTACTTTAGCTAATTTCAATATAAAAATTCAAAAATAGTTTAAAAAAATAAATCAATGTAAAACGGAGAGCAGTAGTATGCAAACAGAATGTAAGCAATACCCGTAAACTAGAACTGCAAAAACTAAACAAAAAGAATTTACGAACAAAAAAGGGACTTAGAACAAATAGCACATTCATTGTACTTATACGCCACCGGGACTTACGTATCACAATGTTGACCTGGAAGCGTATCCTTTACGACTAAATGTGGGCTGAGCTAATTCAGTTTATACACAGTTCTTACTAATATAGTCCTGAAACAATGTGGGATATGAAAACCTTGAAATAAATAAATATATAAATTAATAAGTAAAAATAAAACTGAGTTGAAATTAGTTAAAACTCTAATTTCTGAAACGATACAGTTAAAGTAAAAGCAAGTATTCATATACTTAACGGGAATTACATATTGTCTTACTAATGTTGAAAATCCTTTTTCATACTCCATAGTTTCATCTGGTAAACATGTCAAAATTAACTTTATCAATATATATATACAAAGAGAGAGAGTAAAAATATAAACTAAAGTTTAAAATAACAAAAGCTCTTTGATTAATAATAATAATAATAATAATAATAATAATAAAATTTTCTTTTTTATCCTCCTGATGATTGTCTTACAGTATAAAACTTTGAGTAACGGATTTTGACATTATTGTAATAATAATAATAATAATAATTATATATATATATATATATATATATATATATAAGGTACGATACCTAAGGTTTAAAATGTATTTGTCAAAATGAAAAATCTTTCTTGAAGCTTATTTTTTAGGTTTAATTTCAAGCTTCCAGATTAAATTTAATATTTCCAATAAGTAAAATATTTCGCTGTATTTCAAAGTGAAATTAAATTGATTGGAATGACGTTTTTATTATCAGTAAAAAATAAATAAATAAAATCATCCATATTTACAAATCTGTTAACACAACGTAATTCTCTTTATTAAGAAATCTTTCAAAAATAAAATATACTTTTCTGAAACTTTATTTGATGAAGATTTAAAGTTTAATTAATCTGATTTGTACCAAATATTACTTTCAGATATCGTAGAAAAGAAGTGGGTGTTTTTATAAGACAAATTTCTCATTAGACTTATGTTTGGGAATTTTTTCCAACATTGGCATAACTGTAACAATTACTTGACGAATATAATGTGAATGCCTTTTATATATTTTTTAACTATCCAGTAAACTTAAAAATTAAGAACATATTCAAAGCAATCTAATATTTTATTGAATATTAGGGACTTTGGCTTTATAGTATAACTTACGAAGACGCTGGTTGAGGAAAGTTTAGAAAATTACCAATAAATTTTAATTTTAGTATCGTTGATGTTCTTATTTTCGGAAAATGTGGCGTTTGGACATCCGTATTTACAAAACTCGACACGTTTATACACACATAAATTAAATTCAAAATTCTTTTTAAATTAGTGGGGTCGTTGAATTGTAGTGAACTTTTCCATTTATGATTAGTAAATAGTTAATAACAATAACACTTGACCGCTACAAATTAATACTGAAATTTAAAAGTTTATTATTATTCTAATTAAAATTTAAGGAGAAATTACAATAGTTCTTGTAAAACTTCATTGTTGATCGAATGTTTTTCTTAACACAAAGATATAAAATACTTTACACCTAATAGCAATTAAAAGCTTTTCTAATTAAATAATGTCTTTTATTGAATTTTTTTATTTTACGATTCAGAGCTGATTTTCTGTAATTGGCGGTTCTGTTTGAGCAAAGATTTTCATGATTTAAATTCTCATAGGATTTGTCCTTATACCTGATATAAACTACAAAAAGGAATCTCTTGAAATTTCATAAAATTCATAAGTGGGGATTTCATAATTGGAGGTTAACAGATATGAAAGAAATTTTTTATAAAGATTTTCTAAAAAAGAAATAAAACAGTTCCATTCATTTGTGAATAAATTCAGAAAGTTTTTATTAATATACTAAATTATTTATTAATATACTAAAATTTGTGCAAGAATTTCCAAATCAGTGGGTTTTGCTCAACAAAAAGGACGACAAAATTTCTTATACTAATTTATGATCACACGCTGACGCAAGTAAAGCAAAACTTTTAACCAAAATTTCGAAAGTTCTAAAATAGATAAAAAATATGGTAAAAAAATCCTTTGGTCTTTCTTCTTAATAATAACATAACGTTTCTGACGATAAAACATTGTTTTCAAATTTATGACATTTTTACATTATGTATGCAAATCTTTCGAGATATATATATATATATATATATATATATATATATATATATATATATATATATATATATATATTTATATGTGTGTGTGTGCGTGCCTGTGTGTGTGTTTATGACATTTTTTACATTATGTATGCAAATCTTTCGAGATATATATATATATATATATATATATATATATATATATGTGTGTGCGTGCCTGTGTGTGTGTGTGTTTGTTTGTTTGTGTGTGTTTGTTTGTGTGTGTTTGTGTGTGTGTGTGTGTTTTCTACCATGTTGGAAAACATTTTCCACTTGAACGCTTAACAGGACAACCTTCTTTCTGCCTTCAGTGCGCCTTTACGGTAACTACACGACATCAACCGTCTTTTTGTCTAAGGTGTTATTCAGCTGATCAGTAGGGCGCCTCGACTCGGTGTAATAGTTAGAAAGCTTATCTTGCTAGATCAGTTCCGTAGTGAGTTCGATCCTCACTAGGTGCCCCTTACTTTCAGCCTTGTGCCACATCTAAGCCGCGCTTAGAAAATCACTGATCAGTAAATTTATCTATACTATTAGCAACTACCTTTAATCTCGAAGTAAAAGCAAAAACGTAAATATTTATGTTTTATATATGATCGCATAGGCAGACGTATAAATATAGATATTTTGTTTTTTGGTATCCACTTTTTGTGTTTATACTAATTTTGTTGTCTTTAAAATCGACTAATTTAAAAACAAAAACTGCACTGAACTCTTGTTCGACTCACAGATGTTCAAATTTGTTTCTTGTCTGTCTGCCTGTCTATCTCTCTCTCTCTCTAGCTCTTTCTCTCTCTCTCTCTCTCTCTCTCTCTCTCTCTCTTTCTCTGTGTGTCTTTTATTTGTTTATACTTTTGGTATTGGGAGTGAAGTGAAAGTTAACGTGACCAATAATATTCAAAGGATATTGTCGCTTCTTATTTTTATTTTTCCATTTAAAGAAAGACAATTTTTAATTAGATACCTTATTTATTTTTTATTGCGAGTGGCTTGTTTGCTTGTCAATTTACATATTGTATTCATCTTTTTTAGTATTGTTGTTTGTTGATATCATGGGCGGCGTACATTGTCATTATAACTGCTGTTATCAACAATAACTCGCGACCTTTTCTACCTTAAGGCAGTGTCAGGTGTTTCGAATTGAAGAACACTGTTTTCACAAAACATACATTACTTTGGATTACTTATACAAAAATTAGACATGATGCTTACTTCATTTTTTGCGATATGCTTATGGCAGCCAATCGATTTTAAAAGATATAGCCAGCACAAAGAGATCCTGATACGCATGAAATATCTTACAGCAACTTGATAGACTCTGGTATCTGACCAGATCAGCCCAGACCCTGGATGGAATGATTCAAATCAGTATTTCATATAGTATACCATTTTCTTTCTCTCGCTCTCTCTCTCTGTCTGTCTCTCTTCAGACACACACACACACACACACACATATATATATATATATATATATATATAGTAAATGAGCTGTTATTAACTTAACAATGAGTTCACTATTATTATTATTATTCAAAATCTTCATCTGTATCTTTTCTTATTACAGTTATACTGTTGGATTATATAAATATACATAGAAATATATATATATATATATATATATTGGATAAGTATTGCTATTCTGGAAATTATTGAGACCATTTTGCACAAAACAACTGAAGCTGCTCGTAGAGTTCGTAAAGTGGAAAGAAATGAACCAATATCTGACGATATTGTCCAAAACAGGTTTAACAATTTTAAAGATCGTGACTAATTTCTTAAAATAAAGTCGAGTGACATCAGCGTAAACATCACTTTAGCCCGATGAAATCCTAAAGGACATGTCACATGAAAAGCTTTTCCACTTTGTTATTTTTCCCTAATATACAGGGTGCGACAGAAATACTTCCCACATTTGAAAGGTCGACAAAAAGTCCAAAACAACTGTTATTAAAAAAAAATACTCCATTGTTATTTAAACGAAGAGCTACAGTTTTTATTCATTTCATGTTAAAAACAATATCCTCTAAATGGGGGCCTCTATTTGGCATACTCTGTTGTAGACGATTTCTAAAGTTTTCCATCACCCAGAAGTTCGAGCGCTTCGAGCTCTTTCAAGGAGCTTTCTTTTAAACGATGAACCTGTGGCCTTGAAAATTTTAACTCATAACAGTATCGATTTCCTCGTGTAAGTTCACCAGCACCACACAGGTGAGAGTGTAAAATATCGTAGATATTCCTGTCGCACCTATATATATATATATATATATATATATATATATATATATATATATATATATATATATATATATAAAGAGAGAGAGAGAGATTTTTAAGCTATACTGAAAATCAGCTATATAAACTATGTTCAATAACGGAGAGAGAACGTTTGAAG